TATTCTTTCCTTGCATTTACAACATTCTCTCATACTGCAGTTCATTCCTGAAATTTAGCTGCCAGATGTTTTCTTGGTAAAATCCATATTGGTTTCAATTACCTTTAGAAAACTGACTTTAGGTGGAAATGAATGGTGAATATGAATGCTGTAATTATGTCATTATGCAGCATAAATGGTTGACATTTTTGTGCTTAAATATGGTTAATTTGTTCTTGCATATATACTGTTATCTTGAAGTACTTATGAAATCAAAATATACCTATTAACTGGCTCCAGGCTGATAGAAGACAATCAAGTAAAGGGTTTTGGATATGACCTTTTCATAAGTTGCTCTGCTAATATAAAGTCATAGTCATTTTAGGAATCTTGCTTCTTTGGAAGCAGAACAGTAGAGATGATGTGACAGTTCTTTGACTCCTTGCCGTATATCACCAGAACCCCTGTCCCTTGTATACTCCCTCAGCCACAACAAGGAGAGAGAGAGAAATAACAGGGGTTAACTGAAAAGGCTAATTTAGTGCTCTGGGTGAGGTGCTGGAAGTGATCCCAGCAGTTATAGGCCAGTCCACTTGTTTTAAGTCACTGCTGAAAATCTGGACAAGAATTTTGATGAGGTGTTGCAATAACATTGTAACTCAGTCTCTTCGCAAATCATTCTCATAAACTTCCACAGATAGGGTCACAATGCTGTCACTTTTTATGATGTTTCGCTCACAGGAAGAAAAAGCAGCTTCTGTGTACCCTAAAAGTTTTTAGCCACTGGGGCTAGAAAGTAGTACCTCTCATAAATTACTTGATTTGAAGACACATTTATTCTAAAATCTAACTCAGGAATATTGGTGAAAAGAATAGTAGTCAGTCAGAGCTAAGCAATTTTTAAGATAACATAAAATCAAAATCGATTTACTTTGATGAAGCAATGGTAACGGGCAAAGCATAAGTGCTCAGAGCTCTGTGGGACACCGATATTTTTAAACCATGACTCTTAACATTAATCTATGGTCAGTTAGGAAGACTGAAATGTACTTAAGTAATTACAGTAAATGGTAAAGAATTGTCTAACGTAACACAAAGTATGAAAGAACTCTTTTACGTACTGTTGCTTCAATCTGGAATGTACTTCCTGTCTACTATAAAAGCTCAAACCTTTGTACTTTCACAAAACTTTTTAGGTTTTTCTTCCCAGCACTCTTTTCTCCTTTTCTTGAAACTCTGAAAAATGTTAGATAGATTTAACATTTAAGTGTTCATTATGTTTTATCTCTTAAGTAAATTTTTCACTTCCTGAGCTTAAGCACTGTATATTATAATTATCATTATATCCACCACAGAACCAGATGATATGTTAGGCATGAAATAATTTCTGAAAATGATTTGATAATCATAGAGTGTAATAGAACATTGATTTTCTGTTTTTTACAAATTAGGGAAGAGTCCTATCTTCTTCTTTTTTGGTTTCCATTTCCCACAAACAGCTTTGAACTAGAAGTGTTTCCCTGATAATGGTGAGGAAAATAAGTTCATGCCCATAAATTTAATCACTATGCTTTTAATAATTAGGAGCTTTTTCTCATAAACTAGTGGTGCAGGATAGTTATTCAGTGACTAACTGGTGGTTAATTGGTAAGCTATTAGGGAAAAGTATGTTAGATCTTCACCACATTGCATATCATGATATAAATTTCATATAAGTTTTTGATTGGTGAACAATATCAAACTATGGAAAGACAAAAAGCATATTTGGTTTATATTTTTGAATGTGTGGATGAGTAAAGATTTTCTAAGCTAAAAACAGTTGAAATACTTGGCAAATTTTATTAACTACCTAAAAGTCAAAAGAACTATATACCAATATTAAAAGCAATACATAGGGGAAAACAGCCCCTTTTTACAAAGGAAGGCATAATATCCTTAATAATTAAAGCATTCATAATATTGATAAGTAAAATACTAAGCCCTAATATATTGGGAAAGAAAATGGATAGAAAAAAATCACAAAAGGAAAATACATGAAAAGTATGATTAAAAGGCTTAACTTCTCTAGAAATCAAATAAATATAAAATAAATAAACAAATACCATACTTTCTCCCATTAATTAAACATCTGTTATTAAAGAAGTAATCATACAGGTGAGAGTACAGATCAAATACTGCTTTTATGCATGCATGCTAGAAAATACCTTGGAAGTATGTATCATAAGCATTAAAATATCAAGTTCTTTATTCCAGAATTTCCATTTCAAAGAGTCAACCCTAAGGAAATATTCAGAAATTCAGAAAAAAAGATTATATACCATATTTTTACATAAATAACCCACGTCCTCTATGTCTATTTGCCAGCCACACCCTCCTGTGAAATATTTTCATAAGCATGCTATACTAATTTTTTTTTCATCAACATGTAAGAAAAAAAAAATTGTCAGTTTGAGCCTAAGAGCTGCTCCATAAGAGAAAGATATGGCAGTTGGCTTCTAGAAAAATTTCCAGCCTTGGAAACCCTATGGGGCAGTTTTACTCTGTCCTATAGGGTCACTATGAGTCGGAATCAACTTGACGGTGATCGGTTGGGGTATATATATATATACACATATATACACACGCATACATATATATATACACATATATATACACATACATATATATTATATCATAACTGATATTCACTGAAGCTTTATAATAGCAAAGTTTACCAACAACCTGAAGTTGGAAATAGTACAACCTGAAGTATACAGTGATGTGTATACATATATATGTATATATAGAGATAGAAAGAGAAATCCTATGGAAATAGCTCTTAAACTTTATCATTGAGTTATTTTTTATTTGCATTATTTTTCCTAGATGTGTTCATTATTAAATTATCTTAATAAATAATAAAATTCTGAGCATTTGTCAAAATTTGGTTATCTGTGAGTGTATATAGTATTCAACACTTTTATGAGTGAATTTATTTTTATTATATTAATTATAAGCTTTGCCTAGATTGAATTTTTATTGGGATCTGATTTTTTTTTCCTGGTCATAATATGATTCCATCATGAGAAAGTTTGATGAGGCAATTGGAGACGTGACTGATTACTTGGCATAGAGCCCAATTTTAACTCAAGATGGTTGATTTGGTGTCATTTGAAGACAAGCTGCAATTACTTTGAGAGTTTAAAAGCCCATTATCGTTTAGGTTGGACAAGAAAAGACTGAAACTAAATGTCCTTGTCACATTGCACACATATAGCTAACAGTCTTATTTTATGTATGAGTTTCAAGCAAGGAAGTAAATTTTACCACACAAGATACTCTGTTAACTCTTAGACAGATGACAAAGTGTGAGTGTATATTACCTTTTGTGCATTTATCCAGTGTAGAGTGAAGCATGACTCCCGGGCTTTGGTTACATAATTATTTAAGGTTTGGTAATTTCACTATCTTTAGGATAATTTGAATTACTTTTCCTGTGAAAAACAGATAATACCTTATCTTACCAGCATTTTAAACAGTAAATGAATGAGCAATAATTAACCTGAGATTTTTTTCATTTGCTGCAGGAACACATTTGACTATCACTTTTTTTTTTCAAGTTGGAATACTATCAATGTTTTCTTAATCAATGAGAAAACAATTTTTAATAAAAACAATAACCGCAAAAAAGAAACCCTCTATCGTCTTCCTATAGTCTTTGCTTTAAAAAATTCAAAGTGATTCAATTCTGGCTGCTCAACATATGATTTTGTTTTATGAAATAGAGAATGGAGTTTTCTTGGATTTAAAACTATTTAATTATTATTGAAATAATTAAAAAGAAATAAAATATAGTTGATTCAGTCTCTAATTGGAACACAGTATCATCAATCACCGTAGTATTCCAAATGTAATTTTAATAATTGTAACAAAAGGGTACAAGGTAACAATTATAAACTGTAAACACATAAGCATTTTCAAAGTTCCTAAAATTCTTGAGAGAAAAATATTATATGAATAATAGTTTAATATATTTAATATAAATGAATAACATTTATTTAAGTATAACAAATACATTATTTTACACTTGATCTTAGCCAAGGCCGAGAAGTGATAACAAAGAACATTATTTTAAACATATCTTTATCAAATGTGCTATCTTAAAATAAGTCAGCTAAATTCTTGATGTCTGTTTCTTAAAGAAAGACATCAAAAATGGATCTGCTCCTACCTCAGAGCATACACTGTACATACACACGCACACATTGTTTTGTGATCATGCAGCAATGCAGTAAAAAAAAAAAAAAAGATTTGAAAAAGAGTTGTTTAGATGGCAGCTAGAAAGAGATTTACTGTCTTTAGCCCTATTACTAAAGTCTTTCTTTACCTCTTCATACATCATAAAGGTAGAACTAAAACAGGTGCCTGGTGGGTATGACTTTGCAGTACATTTATTTTGAACTTCTATTTAAAACATTCAAAAACACTTACCATGTTTTGTCTTGCGCTGCTTTTAACCTCCCACTTGGCAGGATAAAACAAAACAAAACAAAGCAAACAAAAACACAAATAGTGAAAAGAATTATATGAAAATAAAATGTGGATGAAAGTTCAATGTTTTCTTTGAAAATACTGAGGTGGGAGGTTAGCTCATTTTTTAGATTATTATTGTGTCGTTTTTATCTTGTTATGGTAATAACCTTTTGATTTTTTTTTTTTTTCCATTTTCTTTTCTCCCATTGCCAAAAATTGCATACTAACATTAAAGAGCTCTGGAAATGGCCTTCTTGGCAATATATTGAGACAGAATTTTTTGTTTTTAAATCATTCTGATTCAGTATAATACTCACTGATCTTTCCAGATCAGATGTTACCAAAGTTAGCCTATGCAAACATTGACTCTTTTTATATATTGCTTTTTTTCTGTTGATAACTTTTCATCATTGTGCATTTGGATATAATGTATTATACTCATTCCTTTTTCCATAGAATAAGGTAGCTGTTTCTAAACTTCCCATTGCTGTGCTATTTCTTCTCATCACGTGGCTGCTGGTATATTAACATCTACTTTGCTGCTGTGTGCAAATGAAAAATGTTTTAAAAAGTAAGTGAATGAACACAGGATAATGTAATAATGACTTCAGATAACTTAATGAAAGCCACTTATCTTTACTAGTTGTTTACTATGATGAGAGTATGTTTACTTCTTTAGCGATGCAAATACAATATTTTGCTAGAAAATATCAGCTCAGGTGGAAAGGCTTCCATGCTAATTCACAAAAATTAAATTATTCACTTGTGCCGTTTAGTGGTACATGAAAGTACTTGGTTACATCTATGATAAATGTAGTGACATTTTAAAATATTCAAAAATTATAAAGGAAAAGGCAACTGGAAGTCATAGCAATGAATATATTATAGAATTTAAGAAGTTAATCTAAATTTTTCTTTTTTTATGGAACTAAAAATTTCCCTTTTAAATACTTCATAAGTGTCAGAATTTTAGCATGTACAACAATGTCTATTACTGAGATTCTGTAAATGACTAGATAAATTGTTAACTAGTACATTGGTAAAGGATATAATACCATTTTTATCTGTATAGGCCATGTGTTAGTTAAAATCTTTAGTACAGCACTGTACTTTATTCAGTTAATCTTGTCAATATTTTAGAGAAGTATTAATCATGAAGTCACAAAGGCTTCCTGTTAAGGAAGACTAAAGAAGAATGTTCAAAATCTTGAGAGAATTTGATCGGGGAAATAAAAAAACGGAGTGATTTGAGTGATAGTGTTCAAATGAATGAAGCAACTCCCTCAAGGCTAATAATCCCCAAAACGGTACACCAGATATCTCTTCTGAAGAAAAAAATCAAAAAGAAGATCTATGTCAAATATAAGGAAGCATCTCTTGCAGTTAACATTTGCTAAATATCTCAGATATTTCCTGAGACTGTGTAGTATTTCCATCTCTGAAGTTAAGATTGTCAGAGATTTTAATACTGAATGCTTGGATCAACAACAAATGCCATAGAAGCAGCAATCAAGAAATCGAATGAAAACAGTACAAGGAGCATTTGTTTTGTTAAGATTTTTTTAAGTTCTTTATTTTGATGGTATTATAGTGTCCTGTTCAAAGCAACTGTTAAATATATGTATATTTTAATTGCCCAGGGCTTTAAGTGTTCCCAAACTTCTGTCATTCTGATACTGCCTTTATAATTTTGTGACTATTACATAACACCTGTAAATTTCTCGTATATGTATATGTGTGTGTATATATGTACATCTTGTTGCTGTTGTTGGGTGCTGTCATGGATTGAATTATGTCCCCCCAAAAATGTGTGTATTAATTTGACTGGGCCATGATTCCCAGTATTGGGTGGTTGTCCTCCATTTTGTGATTGTAATTTTATGTTAAAGAGGATTAGGGTGGTGTAGTAACACCCTTACTAAAGTTACATCCCTATCCAATGTAAAGGGAGTTTCCCTGGGGCGTGGTCTGCACCACCTTTTAAGAGATAAAAGGAAAGGGAAGCAAGTAGAGAGTTGGGGACCTCATACCAACAAGAAAGCAGTGACAGGAGCAGAGTGTGTCCTTTAGACCTGAGGTTCCTGCACTGAGATGCTCCCAGACCAAGGGAAGACTGATGACGAGGACTTTCCTCCAGAGCTGATGGAGACAGAAAGCCTTCCCTTGGAGCTGACACCCTGACTTTGGACTTGTAGCCTACTAGACTGTGAGCGAATAAATTTCTCTTTGTTAAAGCCATCCACTAGTGGTATTTCTGTTATAGCAGCACTAGATGACTAAGACAGGTGCTGTCAAGTCGATTTCGACTCACAGCGACCCTATGTATTACAGTACAAAACTTTGCTCAGTCCTGTGCCATCCTCAGAATAGTAGGTATGTTTTAGCCTGTTGTTGCAGCCACTGTATCAGTCCATCTTGTTGAAGGTCTTCCTCTTTATCGCTGACCTCTACTGTACCAAAAAGCATGATGTCCTTCTCCAGGGATTGGTCTCTGCTGATAACCAAAGTAATCGAGATAAGGTCTTGCCAGCCTCCCTTCTACGGAGCGTTCTGGCTGTACTTCTTCTAAGACAGATTTGTTCATTCTTCTGGCAGCCCATGGTATATTCATTGTTCTTTGCCAATGCCATAATTCAAATGTATTGATTCTTCTTCATTGTTTCTGTTTCATTGTCCATCTTTTGCATGCATATGAGGCAATTGAAAATACCATGGCTTGGGTCAGGCACACCTTGGTCCTCAAAGTGGCTACTTTTAAAGAGGTCTTTTGCTTGCCCACTGCAATACATCATTTGATTTCTTGACTGCTGCTTCTATGGGCATTGATTGTAGATCCAAGTAAAATGAAATTCTTGACAGTGTCAATATGTTCTCCTTTTATCATGATATTGCTTATTAGTCTAGTTATGAGAGTTTTTGTTTTCCTTATGTTGAGGTATAATCAATACTGAAGGTTATAATCTTTGATCTTTATCAGCAAGTGCTTCAAGTCCTCTTTGCTTTCAGCAAGCAGGTAATGGAGATATGTGTATATGTATTTATACTGACTCTTTTTTTGAAAAACATATTCTAGCAATAATTATTCTAAAATTATATACTTTATGTTTGTTTTTAATATACATAAGATAGATACAAATGTATTAAAATTTAAAAAAATCATATGTATGTCTAATAGCAATGGATGAATTGCCTTCCTGTTTCAGGAGCTGTACAGCAGGTCTAAGTTATACTTTGAGATCCAGATCTAGGAAAAGGAAATTAAGTTGCAAAGAAATATCTACATAAAATTAATATGAAAAGTCAAAATATGTTCCAAGACCCTAATTATCTAACCCTTTGAGATCTATTTCCAGAGCTCCCATACACATTAAATAACACTTTGATACATTATGTAAACACCTGAAAAGCTGTGTTATCATTTACACCTTCAAAATGTTGACTTTATGATTGATGGAAGAATTATAGAAGCTTTCAACTGTGACACTGAAGGCAATATCAATAAAACAGTCTATATGTGCAAAGAGGTAGAGAAGATGGAGTGAAGGTTCTTCCGTATATACTCCAACAACCAGAAGCTAGGTACAGATATATGGAAAGAAGCTGCAGTTTGCCAATGGTTTGAAGGTTCTATTTTCTGTTTATCCTTTGAACATATGGAAGAAAGAAAGAAAGAAACATAGGCTGCTTTCCTCTAAGAACTTTAATGTGAAGAAACAGGTAATAATCCACATTTGCTCTCTCAGAGACAGAGTTGCCAGGCAACTTGCTATTGACATAACTGCAAAGTGCAGTCCGCATATATGAGTGCCTTCAGTGAGAAATGTTGTATAAATGAGTTTTTATGCTACAATTCTATTTGTTAAAATGTAAGGCATAATTGAGTATCAGATGATTGTTCTTCATTAGGTGAACTCTACATTGAGTTAGTTACACATGTATCTCTTTGAACCTGAGGCCATTGCATACTGTAGAATATATCCTCACTACATTATTCAGCAATATTATGTTACTGTGGTAGCAACATAGCTGACTGTTGGGGAGGTTATTCTGTATACTTTGAGGGAGAACTTCTGTAATATTTTATCACATATATGATATCAGTCTGGCTTGGTCATGAGATATGTTTAATTGGATTAAGTTAATTTAAAAAAAAAAAAAAAATCAAACCCGTTGCAGCAGAGTCAATTCTGACTCAGCAATCCTATAGGACAGGGTAGAACTGCCCACAGGGTTTCTAAGGCTATAATCTTTATGGAAGTAGACTGCAACATCTTTCTCCCACAGAGCGGCTGGTGGGTTCAGACTGCTGACCTTTCAGTTAGCAGCTGAGAGCTTTAACCACTGTGCCACCAGGGCTACTGTTAATAGTTGTTCCATATTAGAATTACTTAGCGCTTGTTAGTTTCACATTGCAAGTCAATACACTCTTCTAACTTGGATGTATTACATAACCATTAGCCAACGTATTTTGTTCATGTATTCATTCGGTCTGGGGCAAAAGGACTACTTCTGCACTCCTTATTCCCTTATTTTTCCCTAAAATCTTCTCAGTAAGTAAATTAATAGTCTTCCTTACTTTCTCTTGTGAATTTGGGCATGATCTGTTGTTTCTGCTGCAAGTAACTCAGTTACCAAAGGAAATTACATTGCTCAAAATCATTTACAAGTTTCTTCACTTGGTGGTTTCCAAAAGTAAAATACAAAGAGAAATTAATAGGTACCTTTCTGGAAATCGACATGGGCATGTACACCATCCTTGTCATTTATCTTAGTTGTCTTGTAATGCTCCAGCTCTTTCTCTTTACAAATATGTGTATGTGTTTTTACATTCACAACATTTTCAGTTAGGCTGACTTGTTAAAAATTGAATCCTTCTGAAAGCCTGGATGCAATGTGGAAAACAATTACTTTGAAAGAAATGAACAGTGGCGACACGCACACACACGTGCACACATCATTTGCATTCATACCAGTTCAAACTTGTACGTTCTACACAGAGAAATAATGGGAAGAAATGCATACACGCCCTTTAGATTGCTTCTGTTTTGTTACCTCATATTGAATGTGCCCTTAATCTTTTTTGTTTGTTTTGTTTTTCATTTCTATATTTTGTTTAGCGATTGTTAACACTTATCACCAACTTCCTTCACAGGTAAGAGCATCACTATTAAGGTCTTAGTAATGTTTTTGCCAAATGAGGTAATGCAATTGATAGCATTATTATCAGTAGTTTAAAAAAATAGCCACTTAAAAATTATATTTGCTTCATCTTTTAGTGTAAACATCTGTGTTTGCAGAAATTATGTATGTTTAATTCAAATTAAGGTTATTTTATATACATATCCATTTATTCCATCAGATTTTAACTGTCTTATAATAAAAATAAAACAATATTCTAATATCTCATATTTTGTTATTGCTTAGCTTCTGAAATTATTTAAGCTGCTACAAAATTATTCTTAGTGTTTTAGTTCTTGATTATTTTCCTTAACAAACTGTAATAAATGCTATAAAAAATCCTGTAAGAATTTTTTGGTAACTAGAACACCACATAATAATGAAGAAAACTATTATTATTATTATTACTATTATTAAAGTTGATTTAACCCAGTTTCATTGACTGCAAAAAATAATTGAGTTGTTTCCATAAAAATAGTTATCATTATAATCTGATTAATAATTTAACAAAAGCTATTGTAGGAATGTATTATTTTGAATGGTGCTCTCTTCACACAATAGTATCGAATCAGTTGTAACTGAGTTTTCTTTGGACTCTGGCACCTTAAATAGCTGTATAATATTGGACAAGTTATTTAAACTCCCTAAGCTTATTTCCCAGTCCCAAAAAAGTGGACAATATAGTATTTACCTTATTTGGCTTATTTTTATTTTATTTTTAGCAGTATATAATGAAGTTTTTATCAGAGTGTCTGGGACATACTAACCACTTAGTAAGTGTTGTTTGATGTTGTCATCAACATCATTATCAGTATCATTTATATCATTTTAATCTATAAGTACAAAAGTTTATTGTTTTAAATAGAATTGACCTTTGAGTTTTCTTCTGCTGTTTTCATCAATTTGCTGGACATTTTGCTGTTTAGTAAGGTCTTAAATGTGTCTGGTGAGATGATGGGGTTAATTAAGGCTATTCCACACAAGCAATGAGTATGCGCAAAGGCTTGAGAGTAGAAAATAAGATGTAGTATACAAAGAACTGCAAGTAGCTGGGCATAGCTGGAGTATTGGCTAAATATGTGGTCAGTCATCATATCATGACAGGCCTTCCAAGCCAGACAAAGAAAGCTTGGATCCCTGTAGAATCCAAAGTCAATATGGGCTTCTTTGTCCTATGTCGTCAGAAGTCCTACATCTTGAATCAAATCAAATATGCTGTATTCTCATATCTTGTTCATGATGAAATCAAGCAATTTAGTATTACTTTCTTATAGAATTTTAATTCCATTTGCATCCATAAACCTGGAAGTGCATTAAGTAACTGTCATCAGAAAAGAGGTAATATTGTCCAGTTATAAGCTGTTTTTTCATGCCTGGTTGTTCTTGTTTCCATCCTAAAATATAAGGAGGAAAACATAAGTCAAGAAGGAGGAAATACATAAGGAGAAAGGGGATGTGAGTTTTTAGGACTGGTGCGTGGAGGATTCAGTTCAGACTATTGCCATCTGCACCGAGTCTCATGTTCCAGGCTCCCCAATATTTTACATGAAGGCCTAGGTCTCCTAGTCTATGACAATGATCAGATTTCTAAAGACTTTAAGGTGACATATTTGATGAAAATTTAAATATTTTCTTCATGATCTCTTATTCATAAAGTAGAAAAATATACATAGTAAAATAAACTTGCTACTAAATTTCAGTTATCTTTTATTAACACAAACCATTTTCTTTCTTACCTGACACTTTATCTCTTTCATGTATTTATCCTTAAGTGGAGTGAAGAGAATGAGGCACTCAGTTCAAAGTAATACTTTTTGTGGTAGAGAAGTTCTCACTTATATGCCCTGAGCAACCTGAAGTTATAGCATCAAATATGTAATTTATCAATAAATTAAATTTGATTGATGACCTACTCAGCACAATATTGAGTCCTATCTAGAAGGATGCAGAAAAATAAGCCATGGTCCTTGTCCTCAAAGTACATAGACTCTAATTGGAGTCCCTAAACAATAGTGATCCATACAGATCAATATAGGTCTAATGCTAACTGCTGTGGTTTGTACTAAATATCATGAGAGCTCTGAGTCTCATGTTTCTCATCAGTAGTATGAGAATTACAATATTTTCCTCAGAGTTATTGAGAGGAACAAAACAGATAATGCATGTAAATTACTTAACTTGCCATCTGGCAATAGTAAGCACTCCAAAAAGGGTAGCAACTGGAATTATCAGTATTGATTATCACAAATGAATGAATGTTGGAGTAGTAAGAAAAGGCTTTATGAATTTAGTGGCATTTGAATTGGGTGTTAAAAGATTGTACATAGTGAGTGATAAATACGTATTTGTTTACGTAATTACAATTGAGAAGGAAACCCGAGTACAGACAATGGGAAATGAATAAGCAAAGTGAAAAACGTGGTTTTGAGTAACACATATATTTAAGATAATAAAGACACTGAATTGTATACAGCAGAGAGTTTGTTTAGCTAGGAGGAATACAGTCAGATTTTGAAGGCCTTAAAAGCCAAAGAGATTTGATTTGCTATAAAGTAGTAAGGGTGCTATTAGTGATGCTTAAACCAGAAAGTATAATGGAAGTGATAAAGATTAATCTGAAAATGGTAGGCAATGGAGGACTGGAGCAGGCAGGTCTCAGTGGGACCAATTGGATGGGGAAAATCATGAATTCCTTTCCCAAAGTGATTGGACAGTGAGAATCTAAAGAGTGGTGGGCATAGGAAACGGGCTTTCATAGGAAAACTGGTTGGACTGGTAATATGTTTTACTCATGTCCCTAGTTCATATCCAGCAAGTCACCATATGATTTTAAAAATAATAATGTTGTTTATATCAGTAGGCAGATAAGGAAAGAAAAAAGATTTTGTGGAGGAAATAAAATGAATTGAATTTTAAGAGACTTTATTCAGATGGAAATCAGGTATTTGATTGGGAGTAGGAAGACACAATACTTAATGTAATGGGAAGTAAAAATGAAAATATTTTTACTCAAATCAACTAGTATATTACACATTTTCTTAATTTCCATTAATTCCAGTGTAAATTATCATCCCTAAAAGTTTCAAATCTTATGTAGCTAAGAACGTATCAGTTTTCACAATTTCTTCAAAGTATCTTTAAGATAACATATCTTGTGATTAATCCCCTTATATGTACAAGTAACTACCAGAGGCAGTTGCCATAACTAGATTTTTGGCTTTCTCCAGGCTTGTCATTGTACTTTTCTGAGTTTAGTCTTCTATTCATTAATCACCATTTTGTTAGTCTACAGTTGCTCTCTACTATGTATTCTCTTAATTCCCCATTTTTTTCCTCTACATTTTTCCAAGATTCTAAAAATATTTTAAGATGTAAGATTTTCTAAATCATTTTGTGTGGCGTGAAGCACAAGAGATAATCTGCTTTAAACACTATAAGCCTATTCCTTTCAAGAGAAAAAAAGCAGAAATTACTTACTCATACACTATTAGAGATCTAGGTTAAACAATCTACCACTAAGGGATAGTAATCAAACACAG